TAATTCTTTGTAGTTAGATTTATTTCTTGTTCATAGTTTAGATTTTTTTTCTTTTTATTTTTGTAATTAGTTCTTTTTATTTTTTTATGTGAATTTAATTCTTGTAGGAATCTTAGAATTGTATGAAACTAGTCTAATTTCTTTTATATTGTATGAATTATTCTCTTGCACTTAAAATGTTCATGTTTAGGATAATCAACTAGAGAACTAATCGGTAGAAGAAGAATTTGATAATCTATGCTTATCTTAAATGGTTTGATAGGTTATGCTTATGAATTCTAGGATTATTATCATGTTGTTGTTCTTATCATGAATAGTGATTTTGACTTAGATGATAATTTGATAGGTTATACTTTCCTTAAATGGTTTGATAGTCTATGCTTAATAAATCTAAGTTGAAATATGATAAAATGAGAATAGTTTATATTTTGTAATTGAAATTGGCTAATGGATTATATTCTAAAGTTCTTACCTCTTTTGAATCCTCCATCTTGACTTTCTTAAATTTTCTTTTCATTCTTTGTTTTATTTCTTGATTTTATTCATTTTTCTTTCTTGCCTTGTGAATTCATTTATTCTTTGATTCTTTCTTCTCTAAAATTCAATTTATTATTTTTTGCATATATTCACAACAATCACTCATCACAATCACACTTATTCTTTATTTCTAATTGTCACGCACAAAACATAAGAATCATTTCTAATAATCTCTTAAAATTACCTTCTTCGTGGGATCGATATTTTTTATACTATAACTTGATAAATTGTGCACTTGCAATTTTAGTACATAATTATGCCGCATCAACACGACTTATCTCAAAAGCACCTTATCGAATGGCATCGGTAGAGATGATGGAGTTGAAGATTCAATTGTAAGAGTTGTTAGATAAGGGGTTCATTAGGCCAAGTGTATCCCCTTGGGGTGCTCCAGTGTGTTAGACCCTAGAGGGGGGGGGGTGATTAGGGTCTTATGCTAATCTAATCCAATTATATGCCAATAAAAACTAATTAACAAGTTATCCTAGAAAGTATGAAATATAACAACTATATAAGCTAGGATAAGCAATATGAACAATGAGATATATCCTATATGATGAATATATATATGCAAGGATATATAAACTAACACAAGATGATATATCCTATCAAAGAGATATACAATATGATATATGTATATGCAAGGATATAAAACTAACACAAGGGGTAAACAATATGAACTAGATAGTGGATCGAAAACTTCACTACACACTCGGTTTCTAGCTCACCGAAAACCTAACAACCTCACAATGTAACAAATATAAATTTGTTCTCTACAATAGATGAGAACTCAATTAAGCACAACTCAATGTTGCAATCTCTCACAACCCTAATATACTATGTATGCAAATACAATAAGCTCAAGTGGGTGTGTGTAAACAATGAGTGAAATCAAAATCAAAACTAAACTCAATTAAAATCTAGCATATAGGAATTATAAACAAAATAATAAATAGCTAGAAATGAGTTTAGAGATTCTTCTCTGAATAACAAGATGGAGGGATGGATATTTGAGGCTCAAACAAGAAGATAATCTCCTCCACTTGTGAAAGCTAAAACTGCTTTAAACCAAACTCTTAAACAAGCTTAAAACAAGCTTAAACCCTTTTTAAAACCCTTGTTAAAAACTTCTTAGCTAACTGAAAACTGAGATCAAAGAGGGTTTTTATAGCCTCCAAAACCTCAGACCAAAACCCTTTACAAAGAGACCAAAAAACCATCCGCAACGGCTCTAAAAAGAGCCGTTAGGACTCCAGCGGTCGACCAATAAAAATCGCGGTCGACCGCGGACAAGGTCAGAAACTCAGGAGACATCCAGAGAGTTCGTCGGTCGACCGGCGGAAAATTTCGGTCGACCGGCGGTACTGTAGCAGATATATCCGATTTTATAAAATCGGTTAAAAATAGTAAAACAGTTCCAAAAATTATGAAATTTTTAGGAAAGGTTCTAGACTTGTATAAAAACATGCTAGAGAAAGAATTTCTGAAAAATCATTTCTCATTTGAGAGAAATAAATGTTTGAACATAGAAATACAGTTTCTGAAAATCTGCTGTGATACACGATTTTGTAAAATCAATTAGGTACAGTAAATCAACTCTAAAAATAGTAAAATTTTGAGAAAAGTTTCTAAACATGTAGATAAACATGTCAAAGAAAGAATTTCTTGAATATCACTTCCCATTTATAAAAACTCATCTGTTTTGTAAAATATGCACGAACATGTGCACGAACGAAAACGTGAATTTGTAAATTCCTTTAAACATAACAAATCAATTCCAAACTTGATGAAACTTTGAGAAATGTTTGCAAATGATATTTTGAACATGTTATAAAAAGAATTTTCCAATTTGCATTTCTCAATTGTGAAATCTCATTATTTTGCAAAAGTGTTCAAAACATGAAAAAAGTGAATCATCATTTTGCAAAATAGTCCAAAACACGAAAATGTAAACATGTGAAATTTGACATTTTACATAAACAATGTTTTGAAACTTTGCACAATGATTATATAGACTTGATAAAATATGTATATGATGATTGTTAAGTCTATAAACTGAGAATACAATATTTGAGCTTAGAAACCAAATACGTGTGTGTATATGATATTGAACTTAGAGTATCTAACACACATAATATAAAACCTAAAATAAATTACACAAGCTTGATATTGATCTTCATTGTAGCTCAACTTGGTACACGTTGCGGATGAAGCTTAAACTTGATTTTTAACTTGAATTGTACGTAGCTTCACTCCACAATTCCGCCAACCTCCATTTGATATCGTCGTTAAAGCGCTATTCCATCCATCCTCCAACAACGTTGTTTGTCTACAAAACATAGGAATGTACAAACACTAGACAAACAACATTAGTAATAAATTGTTTGTTAAACATCATCAAAACAAGAAGGCCAACACAGTGTTTTTTGTGAAGAAGAAAGATAGGAGCATGAGATTATGTATAGATTACCGAGAATTGAATAGGGTGACCTTGAAGAACAAATATCCTTTGCCTCGGATTGATGATTTATTTGACCAGTTGAAGGGCACCCAGATGTTCTTGAAGATTGACCTTTGGTCTGGTTGTCATAAGCTCAAGATTAAGCCTGAAAATGTGTCGAAGACTGCATTTAGAACAAGATATGGACACTGTGAAATTTTTTATGCCATTCGGATTGAAAATGCCCCAAATGCTTTTATGGACTTGATGAATAGGGCATATAGGTCTTATCTCAACCATTTTGTAGTTATTTTTATTGATGACATTTTGATCTACTCTAGAAGCCGGGAGGAACATGAAGAACACTTAAGAACTATTTTGCAATTACTTTTGGAATACAAACTGTATGCAAAGTTGAAAAGTGTGAATTCTAGTTGGAGAGTGTCTCATTCTTGGGGCATGTTATTTCTAAAGTAAGGGATGTCGGTGGATCCTTCAAAGATAGAAGCAATTGTTGATTGGAAGAGACCTAGCATTGTGACCGAGACACGAAGCTTCCTGGGGTTGGCTGGTTACTATAGAAGGTTTATCGAGGGATTTTCCCGCACTGCAGCACCTTTGACTCGATTGACTCATAAAAGGGTTAAGTTTCAGTGGATAGAGAAGTGTAAGCAGAGCTACCAGGAGTTGAAGGATCGGTTAGTGTCTGCACCTATACTCGTGATTCCTTCTGAATCAGGTGGATTTGTGATATACAGCGATGTTTCTCATATTGGTCTTGGTTGTGTTCTTATGTAGAATAGGAAAGTAGTAGCATATGCATCCAGATAGCTTAAACCTTATGAAAAAAACTATCCAACACATGATCTAGAGTTAGTTGTTGTTATCTTTGCATCGAAGATTTGGCTGCACTATTTGTATGGGGAGACTTGTGACGTCTACACAAATCATAAGAGCCTTAAATATATTTTCACACTTAAGGAGTTAAATATGAGACAAAGGCAATGGTTGGAGATAATAAAGGATTATGACCTTAATATTCATCATCATCCCAATAAGAAGAATGCGGGAGCTGATGCTTTGAGTAGGAAGTCTGATGCTAGTGTTGCCACTTTGATCACAAATCAGAAGTATATATTAGAGGACTTGAGGAGACTTGATATTGATATTCGACTTCGAGGATCTTGAATGATGTTTGCTCATCTTAAAATTTAGCTTACTTTGATTGATAGACTTATGGCTGCATAACGTGATGATCCAGTTCTTGCAAAAATTAAAGCAAACGTGGAACGAGGACTTCAACATGAATTTGTAGTTCACGATGGAGCATTGAGATTCAAAAACCGCTTATGTGTACCTAATGATCCGGAGTTGAAGAAAGAAGTCCTAGAGGAGGCGCATTGTTCGCCGTATATAGTTCACCCTGGATCTACAAATATGTGTAGAGATTTGCGAGCAATATTTTAGTGGAATGATATGAAGCGGGATATTGCAGAATTTTTGTCTAAGTGCTTAGTGTGCCAACATGTCAAGATTGAACATCAGAAGCCTGGCGAACTACTTCAACTTGTCCAATTCCTGTGTGGAAGTGGGAGGAGGTAACAATGGATTTTGTGACCGGTTTTCCTAGGAGTCAAAGTGGTAATGACACTATATGGGTGATTGTTGATCGGCTTACTAAATTGGCTCATTTCTTGCCTTGTTAAATTACTCATTCTCTTGAGAAGCTTGCTTAATTATATGTTAAGGAGATTGTGAGATTGCATGGGATACCGGTGACTATTATATCAAATAGAGATTTGAGGTTTCGTTCTAGATTTTGGCAAGGTCTAAATAATGCTCTGAGAACACAATTGAGTTTTAGCACATCTTATTATCCGCAGACGGATGGGCAATCTGAGAGGACTATTCAGACATTGGAGGATATGCTTTGTGCTTGTGTTTTGGATTTGAAAGGTAGTTGGAAAAACATTTACCTTTGGTGGAGTTTGCATATAATAATAGCTATCACTCTAGTATAGATATGTCCCCTTATGAAGTACTGTATGGTAGAAGATGTAGATCACCTATTTGTTGGGATCAGGTAGGAGAAAGAATGCTACTCAGTCCTGAGATAGTACATATTACTACTAAGAAGATTCAACAGATACGTGAGAGGCTTTGTATAGCTCAAAGCAGGCAGAAGAGTTATGCCGATAATAGAAGAAGAAAGTTAGAGTTTGAAGTCGGCAATCATATTTTCCTTAGAGTATCACCTATTAAGGAAGTGATAAGATTTGGAAGAAAAGGAAATTTAAGTCCGAAATATATTAGACCTTTTGAGATTCTGGAGAAAGTCGAAGATGTAGCATACAAAGTTGCATTGCCTCTAGAGTTAGCTAAAATTCATAATGTTTTCCATGTATCAATGCTGATGAAGTGTATACTTGATCCGAATCACGTATTGAATTATGAGCCTCTTGGGATCAGGAAAGATTTGACATATTCAGAGTATCCAGTTAGAATTTTAGACTAGAAAGAGCAAGTATTAAGGTAAGGAATTGTTAAGCTAGTAAAATTTTATGGAAAAATCATCTAGCTGAAGAAGCTACTTTGGAGCACGAAGATGAGATGAAGGAAAAATATCCTAATTTATTTGAAGACTCGCGTATGTACAAGTTTTGAGGACAAAATTCTTTTGAGGGGTAAAGTATGTAATATCCCTAATTTCCTAGTGATAAATAGTCTAAGTTATTATTTGTTTAAATAGATATCCAAACAATGAAGTTAATAATATTAATTTATAAATATAAGTGTGTAAGAGGAGTTTTATGCAAAGAAAGAGTAATAGCTTTGGTGTCATATTATTGCTTATTAAAGGGGTTTGTTGCAATTAGAATTTTATTAAGGGGTTTATTGGTTTTGGATAGCAAATAAAAGAGAGAGATTTGCTACATTTTGAGAGCCTGCAGCAACAACAACAAAATAATAAAAACAAAAACCCTACCTGCGTCCTTTTGAAAACCGGCGACACAAAAAAAACGCTTTAAAGTCTAGCGAAGTGTGGGATATTGATTATTCTCAAGGTATAGTTTTTTATCATTACATATATATACATTGATCTCGCTAAGGATTTGTCTTGTTTGTTTTTTTAATTTTGTTGAGATCTTGGCCAATGCAGACAAAGAAACTTGTTGCTACTCTTACATTTTAATTTTGTTGAGCTCTTGGCCATGGCAGACAAAGAAACTTCTTGCTGCTCTTACATTTTAATTTTGTTGAGATCTTGGCATTGGCAGACAAAAAAAAACTTGATGCTGCCCTTACTTTTAATTACTTATTTGTCTCCATGATGTTTTGGTTCTTAGCATATGATTACATGGTTTTTTATGACAAAAAAATTGTTATGCATAGGATGTTTCACCGTGGCTAGGGTATAGTAAGATATGTAGATTGATTTTAGTAGAATTAATTAATTAGTGTATGATAAGTTAGGATATCCTGAAATGGTCTTAATAGGCGTTCGGGTCATAGATTATAAAGAAATTTTGATGGTTATTTGTATATATTATGTAGGAATTCCAAGTGACTTTGAGGAGGTATCGTGACTGGTATTCCAATAGTCTTTCGTGTTTGGATCAGTGGTGAATTTGTATATTATTTACTGCGTATTTTTTTATATAAAATTAAATTGACTATATATAAGTTTGTTCTGATGGATTATATCATTTTGTATGGTTGCTCGCATACTAATTATTGATTGGATTAATGCATGTGGTTATTTGGTATAAGCATATGCTTATTTTCTTTGTCAATTGTTATGTCTTTTCATATAGTAGTAGGTTGAGATGCATATATGGTTGATTGATTTCACTATTTGTTGGCCTTTGGCATTTTTGTGTAACGTATATAGTTTTATAAACCTTGTTTAATTTTCTTAAAGCATATGCATTTCTGGTCAATATACTGGTATATGTCGAATATAAGCAAGTTATTAAAATAGAGCTCAATGTGTCTCTATGAGGTTTTATTTTAGCACTAAGAGCCCAAATTTGGGTCTCACCGTCCTGGAACCGTGGGCTTAGTAATTATGGGGTTTACCGAGTCAACCAGAGTATGAAGTGTTGACCGCATTAAGACGTAACCTACTTATTTCCATTTCATAATTTTCATATAAAGAAAGCTAAGATAAAAAAAATCAATAAATTAGGATAGACCGAATTCACTGACAATATCTAAACTTTAGATAAATTGCTTCAAACGTTAAGGGATCACTTCGAATTCTCATATAACATTAATTTTATTCATCAATCAATCAATGTTCTTTCTGAAATTACCCTAGAGGGTGGGTGAATAGGGTAATCAAACAATTAATGTGCAATTAATAAAATTCAATGCAACTCAAGACACAATATAGCAATATGGCAATAAATGAGAGAGAGTTAGAAATAGTTAGCCAAATGAGACGCTGATATGTTCATGAGGTTCAATCCTCTTGATCTACATCCTTGACCACCTCTCCCGATGGTAATTCACCACACAACCCGGTTTGGAAGCTGGAACTTCTTCACAATGATCTCCTCGAGATCTAACTCACCACACAATGATCTCCTCGAGATAAAGCTCTCCACACAATACAAGATGATGAAATAATCTCTATTACAACAATCCTATAGCAAGGATAAAGAGAGAATCAATTGAAGGTTAGGGGTTTGTGGGATGTGAAATTGAAAAACCAAAATCGAAACCTTGAGAGTAAGATGAAAGTTTAAGCTAAAAAACAAAACACAAGTAGAAACTCTTGATTTTTTTGCTTGCTTAGTTGCTGAATAAATGAGGGCTGTGGGATATATATAGGAGCTCAAAACAACAGCCCAAATCCAACACAAATCAGCAAATCCCAAGAAATTAGCAAAATCTGAAAATAGTCGTTAGGGTGCCGTCGGTCGACTGGTGTAGTGTTCGGTCGACTGATGAGTTGGCCGTTGGCTGATTCTGGGAAACTATCGGTCGACTGATGCAAACCATCGGTCGACTGAAAACACTGTTAGTCAACTGATGCAGGTTGGTCGACTGAGCAGAAACTTTTCAGCAATTGCAAAGTAGTTTATCAATTGACTGATGCATAGTGTCGATCGACTGAAAATACTGTTCAATCGACTGATGAAGGTTGGTTGCCTGAGCAAAAACTTTTCAGCAATTGTAGAGCAGTTCTTCGGTCGACTAATGAACAGTGTCGGTCGACCAAAAAACATGCACAACCTAGTTTCGAACAGAAAAACTAATTTTCAAAGGTGTTTTAAAAATAGTAAATAAATTCCAAATATTATAAAACTTGGGGAAATGATTATTCTGATGAAAATAAACATGTTAAAAAATAATTTCTTAAACGATATTTCCCAATTGTGAAAACTTATCATTTTGCAAAACAATCAAAAATACGGTTTTAAAAGTGTGTGTATTTGATCCCCAAATGCTTCAAAAGTAATCTACTTTATTTCTTGCTTATATTATGATCTTGAGAGAAAATAAAAGTGCAAATATCGCTCACAAATGTATACAAATCTTGAGATTCGATATTTGCTAATTTGTTGATGAAGCTCTTCTTATATATATCATACTTGAAAGCTCTTCTTCATCAACTTGCCACCACCTCCATGAATATGATCACTGAAGCTTAAATTCATCCATCCTCCTATAATGGTAATATATTGCTTGATAAAATACATCATGTGTAATATCACTCAACAAGCAATTAACACCAATAATGGGGTTTATAAATCATCATCAAAACACGAGACCTAACACTTTCCTCACGGAGGATACAACTTATTTATAGAATAAACTTAATGTTAGATTAAGTCTATTGAGTATTGGGTTAATAGATTGTGACCCGTTAACTATACACCTATTTGTATGACTATATATATATATCTCTCTAGTATCTGAATAAATTAATTAAGTTAGGATTTTGCTCTCTCAATTATCTATTTCTACATGGTATCAGAGCATGAAACCCTAGCCGCCACAAATCCTCATTCAAAAACCCTAGCCGCCGCCACATGACCCGATCCGGTCATCTACTACTGCCTATTTTTTTATCTGCTCTTAGTCTATGTTTAAAGAACAGATCTCTACTATTGCCTTGGCTATTTGACTACTACCTACCTACCACTATTGTGCAACAATGTCGGAAATAAATCTCGCCTCCTCTTCTACATCTCCCTCTGCTGCTGTTGGTCAGACTTCTGCACCCAAGGTAGTCTTGGGGACTATAATAAAATTAAATAATAAAAACTATCTGCTCTGGGGTCAGGCTTTCCACATCTTCATTGGCGCTCAGAGCAAACTTCCACATCTTCTGACCTCTCCTCCACCCACCACAGATCCCACCTACAGTTCATGGCTCTCGTCTGATTATTATGTTATGATGTGGCTCCTCAACAGCACGGAACCACATATTAGTAGCAGTGTTATGTTCTTAACCACTGCGAAAGAGATGTGGGATAACCTGAAGATTATGTACGGGAATGAGAAGAATGCTTCTCGTGTATTTGAGATTTATGAGCGACTGTTTGTGCTTAAACATGAAGATAGGTTAGTTTTGGAGTTCTTTGGTGAGTTAAAGGGACTGATAGACGAACTGGAGATGCATCAGTCTGCAGTAGCTGATGCGTCGACGCTATTGGGATATCGTCGTGACTTGGTAGTGTCCAAGTTTCTTTCTGGATTGCACCCTACCTTACAGTTTCAGGTGAGAGGACAGATATTGGATGGAGATACCATCCCCTCACTGACTGCTACATTCTCCAGAGTCATGCAGGTCTCTACTGGTGTTTCTTCTGATACTTCTACACCGTCTCCACCTTTAGTGGATCAGTCTGTCATGTTATCTAGTAGAGGCAGAGGTCGCGGTCGTGGTCGTGATCGTGATTCTGTGGGAGCACGTGACTCTTTTAGTGGGAGACAGGGTGATTCTGATAAAGGTTCACGTCAGTGTGGTCACTGTAGAAGGACCAATCATATTTCTGAGAAGTGCTGGGAGAAGTTTGGTCGTCCTCAATGGGCCCAAGTAGCCGATGCCGAGTCGACTCGCTCACCTATTTCTACTACTACTTCTAGTAATCCAGATGCTATTGTTCCTACTGCTCAAATCTCTCAGGCAGATTATGAGAGGTTACGCCAGCTAGAGCTCTTTCAGAACAGTCATTCAGCTACTCATGCATCCTCTTCAGATATGGATGCTTACATAGCTTCTCCTCATGAGCCATGAGTACTAGATTCCGGAGCCTCATCCCATATGACAGGTATAAAGGATCGTTTTGTCTCTTTGTATTTTTCTGATAAGTTTTCCTCTATTCACATCGCTGATGGTACACTTTCTCCAGTTCTTGGTGTTGGAGTAGTTCATGCTACTTCCTCTTTGAAACTCACTGATGTGTTATATGCTCCTAAATTCCCTGTTAGCTTATTATCCATTAGCAAGTTTACAAAGCACAATAACTGTAAAGTCACCTTCTTTCCTTCTTATTGTGTTTTTCAGGACCTAGCAACAGTGTGCCGGGTGCTGGTCTTGTTGAAGCACAGCCTGATTCTACCTTACTGTGGCACTAGCGTCTGAGTCATCCTTCACTACAGAAACTTAGATCGGTAGTTACTGTTCAGTCTTCTCTTTCTTCTTTAGGTTGTGAGTCATGGGTAGTTACTGTTCAGTCTTCTCTTTCTTCTTTAGGTTGTGAGTCATGTGAACTGGGTAAGCACCATCGTGCTTCTTTTAGGTTGTGAGTCATGTGAACTGGGTAAGCACCATCGTGCTTCTTTTCAGAGTCGTGTCGATAAACGTAGTAGTTTTATGTTTGAGTTAATTCATTCTGATATCTGGGGTCCTTATCGTGTTCCCTCTGTGAAGGGTTTTCGATATTTCATTGTTTTTGTTGATGATTTCTCTTGCATGATTTGGCTATATTTGTTGAAAGAGATGTCTGAAGTCTTGCATGTTATTGAACTTTTTTATAATAAAATAAAAACCCAGTTCTCTACTTCTGTTCATATTCTTCGTACTGATAATGCTTTGGAATATATGAAAAATGACATTTCAAATTTGTGTGCTCTTAATAGTATTATTCATCAAACTTCATGCTCTCACACTTCACAACAAAATGGAGTTGCTGAGAGGAAGCATAGATATATTCTCGATGTTGCTAGAACACTGATGATACATATGAATATTCCAAAGTATTTGTGGTCTGATGCTGTCCTCACTACCTGTTATTTGATTAATTGAATGCCTTCCTCTGTTCTTGATGGTTTGATATCATTCCACTGTCTTTATCCTACTAAAAAACGTTTTTCTATGATTCCTCGAGTTTTTAGTTGTACGTGTTTTGTTCAGGATTTGACTGCTGGTTTAGATAAATTGTCTCCTAGGTCTATTAAGTGTGTGTTTGTTTGATACTCACGTACTCAAAAGGGTATAGGTGCTATCATCCGATCACCAGGAGATATTTTGTTTCTGCTGATGTTACCTTCTTTGAGTCTGCCCCATATTTTTCCTCTGGTTCCACTACCTCTGTCAGTCCACAGGTACCACTACCTTATGTGGCCCCCTACTATTTCGGTATTTGCTCCTGTGGCTACTGCACCAAAGCCTCTACTGACATACTCTCGCCGTCCTAAAGTACATACATCTGTCTCTGCTCCTGCTGACTCTTCTTCTCTAGCTACAGGTCCATCTCATGTCAAGCCTCATATCTCTTCTGACTTAGATGTTCCTATTACTCTTCGTAAAGGTAAACGGTCTTGCCCAAAATATCCTATCTCTCCTTTTGTCTCTTATGACCGTCTCACCCCCATCCTTTCGTTAGTTTGCTTTGTCCTTGTCCATTATATCTTTACCCAGGTCACATGAGGAAGCTTTGTTAGTTCCCACCTGGAAACAGACTATGGATGAGGAGATGAATGCACTGCTTTCTAGAGGGACTTGAGATTTGGTCTCTCTACCTACTGGAGCGACTATGGTTGGCTGCAGATGGGTGTATACCTTAAAATATCGCCCTGATGGGTCTGTTGATAGATATAAAGCTTGCCTGATTGCTAAAAGATATACCCAAACATATGGTACTGACTATTTTGAGACTTTTTCTCCTGTTGCGCGTCTCAACTCCATTCGAATTCTCTTCTCTCTAGCTGTTAATCTGGATTGGAAGATGCATCAACTAGATGTGAAGAATGCTTTTCTTTATGGTGATTTGGACGAGAAGGTTTATATGGAGCAACCTCCTGGGTATGTTGCTCAGGGGGAGAATATTATCTGCAGACTGAGAAAAGGCCATCTATGGGTTAAAATAGAGTCCTCGAGCTTGGTTTGATAAATTCAGCAAGGTTATTTCTAGTGTTGGTTTCCAACGCTGTCATTCTGATCACTCTGTCTTTCTTCGACGCACAACAACTGGTTTGGTTATTTTAGCTGTTTATGTTGATGATATTCTGTTCACTGGGAGTGACTCTGTTGCCTTAGTATAGACTAAGGAGTATCTAAACCGTCATTTTGTCACTAAGGACATGGGAAAGCCAAAATATTTTCTTGGGATTGAAGTTGCATAGCAAAGGCATGGCCTGTTGTTGTCCCAAAGGAAGTATGTGCTAGATTTACTAGAAGAAGCAGGTCTCTCGGGATGTAAACCTTTAAACACTCCAATGGAGGTAAATATTGATTTGTGGTGTGATGATACCTCTCTACTAGATGATGTTGGACGATACAGGAGACTGGTTGGTAAACTAATCTATTTGACAGTTACCAGACCTGATATTACCTTTGCGGTGGGTGTACTGAGTAGGTTTATGCACAAACCCAGAGAAGTTAATTGGACAGCTGCTTTGAAGATCTTGGCATATATCAAGAGTTGCCCTGGTAAGGGATTGCTATATAAGAAGCATGGGCATACTCACATTTCTATTTTCTCTGATGCTGGCTATACAGGAGATATAGGAGACCGAAAGTCAACCTCAGGATTCTGTACTTTTATTGGAGGTAATCTTGTGACTTGGAGAAGCAAGAAACAAGATGTAGTATCACGGTCTAGTGCAGAGGCCGAATATAGAGCAATGACTCACATTGTTTGTGAGATGGCGTGACTACGAAAGTTTATGACAGAACTTGGTTTTGTTCAACCTGGACCCATACCTATGTATTGTGACAATCAATCTGTCATTTAAATTGCACAGAATCCTGTATTTCATGAGAGGACAAAACATAGTGAAGTTGACTGCAATTTTGTCAGAGATGCTTGGGAGAAGAAGATAGTGTGTCTCATATTCACTCCATCCTCACAACTTGTTGATATTCTTACCAAGGCTACTTCTTCAAAGATGTTTTCTACTATATGTGACAAGCTGAGCATGGTGGAATATATATATATATAGTATCTGAATAAATTAATTAAGTTAGGGTTTTGCTCTCTCAATTATCTCTTTCTACACTTAACACTAAAGTTAATACCAAATCATCTAAATCTTATCTAATAAAACTGAAAATATTATCCTAACCAGATATCTAGCAGAAACATCTAAAAAGGAAAACTCTCAAACTGTAATTTCCTATCAATTAAACTAAAAATCTCCTAAATAAAATCCAAGCTAAATTACCAAATAAAATCAACTCAATCTTAACTTGTCCTGCATGAAATTTCTCTTTGTTAGAGAAAACTTGACCTTGGTTTTATAAAGGGAGAGTATAAAAATTTCTTTAATTGTTGGGTAGTTTTGTTGTATGCACTGCAAAATCTTTAAAATTATTTGCATAATCCGATAATGTGGAGGTGGTGGAGGATTGGAATGACAAACTCTATTATTGAATTGTTATAGATTGAAAGTATATTGAACGACGCTTCAACTTTGACCTAGAATTTTGGGTTTGGTTCAAGTTCGGCATCTAGGTCAACCTTGTGCTCAGTCTTTGGTTCAAGCTCGAGTTCAAGTTCATGCTTTGAATATATCTTCTAATTTTCTTCTTCTAGATCTTGTTTAGATTCGTGCACTAGGTTGGCTGCATGATCTGGTTCTAGTTCCAAATCTGATCCTGATGTCAGCTTCGGTTTTGACTCTGTATTTGACTTGGGTTCATATTGTAGATCCACATCTAATCGGACCTGGGACACTTTTGTCTTGTTCTTTGAAGAAAAATAGTAATGTTTTCTAGTTCTAGTTAGATAACTAGAATATCTCCTTTCAAGGAGAAGCTTCATCAGTGCCCATGAACATAAATATGACTAATGACTATAATAAATGTAAAACCACCAATCCCGAGCTATATCTTTTAACCTTCACTTAGCTTACATATACATATCTTACTTTGACAAATCATGAATTGTAAATAAATCTCCTAAATCTTACATCCACAAAACCATATATTTCTTCATATCCATAAAATCCATAAAGCTAAGACACATTGCCAAAATTTAAAGAATTAATTTTGAGTTGTTGTGATGGAGGAAGTGGAAATTTACTCATGATTATCGTACCGCTAAACTTGCTCTGATGCCAATTGACAGGGAACATATTCTAATTGAATTTAAAATTAAAAAATGTTGCTGGAAAATAGATCAGATAATCGTCAAAAGATGAATGATCAGTCCTAGATGAATAGTAATCTGTGAATATAATCGAGCAAATAGTAACATTCTCTTTAAGAAAAATCTAAGATTAAAAAAGATAAATTAGGATAGTAGATTCACTCACATCATTTAACCTTTGATTAAACAACTTCATACCTTGAGAAATCACTCCAAACTTTTCACATGTTTATCAATCAAACAATGTCTTTTCCTTAAAATATACAACTTATTTAAAATAAACTTAACACTAAAGATAATATCAAATCATCTAAATCTTATCTAATAAAACTGAAAATATTATCTTAACCAAATATCTAATAAAAAAAATCCTAAAAGGTAACTCTCAAAGTGTAAATTCCTATCAACTAAAATAAAATCTCTTAAATTAAATCCAAACTGAATTAGCAAATAAAATCAACTCAATTTTAATTTTTCCTACATCATTAAGTGGATACAAGTTCTTGTCACCAACATTTTACCTATTGATTTTGCTTTGAGATTTGTACTAGCATGTGATGCATATCAAGTTAGCCTTAATGTAAAACACAAATCTTAAAAAACAAGTTGCTCCTATCCACTTAAGTTCATAAGCGCTTCGCTGAAAAAAAATGCTCCATAATTTTCCAACAATATGTCTCATGGCCTCCACTGTAAACATAAAACAAACCTGTAGATGCAACCATAGACTTTATTTTTATTTTTATTTTTATTTTTTTCAATTACCTCAATCGGGCAAATGATTTCAGGGAAAAATATGTCAGAAACTGTACATAAAATGGAGTAAATCAACATCTATCAGCAAACTTACCACAGGCACACAACCAAGGGAATTTCTTGCATCAGTTATGAATGGACGGGGTGGATAACAGCCAGCCTCACCTTAGAATGGAGAAGATTTCTCCAAATACAACCTTGACTTTCGGCTTGCATGTTCGTGCACCCATAATTTAAGTGGGTAAATCCTTTCCTGGAATAATGGTTTTTACATTACAAATAATCCCCCTGTAGAAAGGACAAAGAATCCCCGTGAGGTATTATAGTGACACTTTAATCTCCCTGATCTTCAGTTTCCAGTCAAACAATCATCGTTTTGATGTAATCATTAAATTTTAATACAATAATCATGAATGCAGGACTACACGCAAAAGTCATATTGTATGACCATAATTTTTTCTTGAAAGGAGTTTTTCTTCACTAATGCAATCTATAAGGAGGTTTTCTGTAATTAACCCTATCTAAATGTAAAACAAAACAGGTTGTAACTTCAAATTAGAACGATTCTATTACGGTCGAGAGAATAATAAGATCATAGCTTGCTTGATGGAAGGCCAACCATCCTGGACTTCTTCTCAACTACACGAGACAGTTCTTTGACATCTTCCTTTGGAATGTAACGAGGGCGACTCAGCCAGAAACCTCCATCAACAATCATAGTGCATCCATTAATATATTTTCCTTCACAAAGAGTTTATGGCAAAAAAAAGTATTAAGAGATTGATAATGAATGTTTTAGAATGTGCAATGTGTTTCAAATAATTATTAATATATTTACTTTCACAAAGAATTTAAGGAAAAAAAGTATTATGAGACTGATAATGAACGACCGATAACTTGCAATGTGTTTCAAATAGATTAGTGAAACAAATAGTTATTAAGAATAAAGAAACTTTGGTTTTCACATTCTGGATCACATTCTCAAAAAGCTAAAAGGAAAATGAGAGATAACCTCAAAAACGAAAGACCTTCACCTCAGGGGGAAAAAAAAATAAAAAAAAAGAAGTCTTTTGCACCAATAAGTAGAGATTACATAACATGCTTCATTTCTCCTTGAATTGAAGAGAAAGCGTAACAAATGAAATTTGCATCCACCAGGGACATTTTTGTTTCAAAAGTGATGAATGTTGAAGAAACGTTCGTCTTAAACAAGATAAATGAATGAAAAACAGAACTTTAAAGTTTTCTCAAAACACGGATCAATGGTTAGAAGCAATTTTTTTCCTTTAAGGCCTTATACTACATGGACTAATATATCATTACATAGTAGCAAATGCATATATTAAAAGTAAACTAATCATATATTTTGAAAGCACACAGATAATGATAACGTTTGTAAGATATAGGTGTCAAAAAATACAAACGTTACCTGCATCGGAAGCCAGATAGAGTGCAGCCATAGCAATATCCCATCTCTCTCCTGTTCTATACAGAGGCATGTACTCTTTCGCTTTACTCTTCATCTCCTCTGGAGCCAGTTTTTGAAATCCGGGTGTCCCTTCAATTGGCCCTGGCGCAATTCCATTTACCCTAATATTATAATCGGTTCCCCACTCAAGAGCCAAAGACCTTGTGATGCTATCAACTGCTGCCTGAATAGTTAAAATATGTTAGCCTATTTAGAAACAAGAGCAAATTGCAAGAAACCCCCTTCAATACTTGTTTTTTAAGAAGTCCTGTCATCTAAAAAGTTCAACAAAACCATCCACATCTATGATAAAAATAAGTCTGTTCGTTCTTTAATGGTGAATGGTTCTTCAGATGGATAAGCATATGTCTCCATTCAGAATTCTAGATTAATGATAAAAAGACCGAGCATGAGAACAACTAAACTCTGTTACAAAATAACGGCTTTATTAATGGTCATAGATTATCAGATCCTTTCAGATGAAGGAATTTCTTGTTGTTACCCTAGAAACAACAGAGTCTTTTAGATAACTCAATCATGTGGACATACCTTGGCAGCTGAGACATGAATCTGATACCACGATGCGGTATAATGCAAATTTGCACTTATGTTCAGTACAAATCCGCCTGTAGATAGACCTTTCTCTGGCATCGCTTTCAGATATTTTAAGGCTTCATGGCACATTGTGAATGTGCCAACAGAATCAATCTCAATAACTGGAAAAGTCAATGAAATTATAATTCAAACGCTTCAACATAAGCCAAGGAAACCATGGAACTATAAGTCATTAAATAAAAGGTAAGATTAAATCAACTTCGATATGCTATTATATAGTAACATATGCTGATTGAAGAGGTAAAATATATACCAAAAAACAACTTAAAAGAACAGTTATGGCTTAACCAAGTGCTATTGGATCCAAATATGTTCCTAATGTTATAATGCGCAAGGGAACAACAGTGAAACATTTTCATCATGTAACACAGTAAGTACAACCTGTTCGAAAGCCATTTGGTGATAAATTCTCCGGTGATGCAAGAAAATTTCCTGCAGCCCCATTAACAAGAATATCAAGCTTCCCAAAATGTTTAACAGTTGTTTCCACAACTCTGGCTGCATCTTCTCTTTTCCGGACGTCACCTTCAAGCCCAATAGCCTGTATTATAATGCATAATTATTAAAAATAAATTCTAAAATAATAATAATAAAGTTTAAGTGACAATATCCTTGTAAACTAGATAACCACAAAATAACTTGAAAGAAATGCATCATTCCATAATATAATTATGAATGCACATGGAAGTGGGATGCTATGTAATCCTGACCATGAAAACACCACCTAGGCACAGTAGATAGTAGAAATTCTGAATAGTATTTGGTTCATTATTTAACCCAATTAGACAATGAACCAGAGTTTAGCTTGGCGTTAGGATTAATAAAACTTGAATTGGGCTGCTGTTCCAAACCACGCTCAGGGTTGTAGATGGCTTGAGCTCTGATTGCCCTTCAACTGAATGAATTCATCTGAACCTGTGGCTATATGTATATATCCATATACACATACATAAGGATATATGTATAGTAGGTTCTTAGAATTAATTTAGAGTTCTACCCATGAGAAAACAACACACACATTTAACACTGCATTTTATTTATTTATTTATTTTTAAATTTTCTTATTTTTCATTTTTTTAGTTTTTTTTTCAGAGGCAAGTCTTGTAAGTTGATAAATCAACCAGATTAACCAAAAACAAATAATTTCTTTACTAAACTTGACCCAGTTATTTTGGATTATACTTATACATGCCAGCTCCCTTCCTTCTAAAAAAAAGTACTTATTGCTTTTTTAGAAAGTTAAACACAAATATACTTTTTTCCCACGTGATTTATACTGTTCAACAGAACACATGAAGCTTATGCTTTCTCATTTGAAACTCACACTTTTTGTTACAGTAATAGGATGCCCACCCACAATTATAATTTCTCAAACATCTATACAAATTGAGGTGATACAGTAGACCTATGCAAGCTAGTAATGAATAAATATCAAACAAAGAGCATCCTGTTAATAATATGATCACCTGCAGTAGAATCACATAGATCAATCAACTCATGATTATAAATAGTCAGGTAATGATTCCATATTCCACCAGCATTGTGATCGGGATTGTTATGGGAAAAGGAACTGAAATGTCCTGATTTGTTTATGCACCACTTGGGAATACCCAGTGCCCAAAAAGTTAAATTAGTTGGTCAATTGTGATACCAGGGGAGCTTATTTTGGAAGCATAACAGGTAAATAATGCTGAAATTGATGATACCAATTAAGATCAGTGTCTGAAAATATTTTTTTTAATGAGGCACTCTCCGATGTGTGCTTCAATACAGAGGTAGGAGGGGATTTTGACTAAAACAAAAACCTGTAGGAGTTGTGTTCATCTGCAGCAGGCGATCTCTTCTCTCTTTTATGAGTTATGTTTATTTTCTGGATCGAGTTTTATGTGGGCCCTTGAGCCAAGACAGCGAGAACTCATTTTCTTCAATAATAAAATTAAACTTTAGGCCATGCAAATTCAATATAGCAACACGGCTAGGTAAGATATATATGTAACTTAGTTTATTATAAGTTATGTTTATATTTAGCCAATTTCATTCTCAGTCAATGTCCAAGAACTGATTGCATCTATTTGTAAATTATTATACTGCTTATAATATTTAAAAATTGAAATCAAAATATAATTACCTTTATGAGGCTTAGGCTTCATGCCTTGGGCACAATTGCTTTATAAAAGGATTCAATGCTTCACCTTGCACTTTTGCCTCTTTAAATATTGATCAAGCTATGTATGGATGATTGTTAACATAACGGTGAAACATATCATTGTTATCTCTTCGTATTAGCCAGTAGGACAAGTGTGATTCACTTCGGAAGTTAGAGAACGAATCAATAATTTTAGTCTTCAATATGTATCAGTACATCTTTCATATTATGAAGTGCCTCTTGGACAAGAACTTTGCCCATAGTTACAATGGGAAACCCCTAAAATTAATTCTGACTCTCGACTCTCTTTCCAGTCACATCAGGCATCTAAATGAGTTGAAATAACTCTATCTCCTACTTGTCATTCTTAAATCCAAGTTTAGCATCAGGGAATTCAGTAGCGACATTAAACACGAACCAATAATTTACAGCTGGAGCTTTCAAGAGAAATAAAAGTTTGGATATAGATACACACCCCCAATAGGTACACACCCCCAATAGGTACACGCCTCAACATAGCACAATAGAGTCCGTATCACATAAGTTACTAAAAAACAGCCAAAAAACAACGGATTTCAGTAATGAGTGAGGTATTTCCATCAAGAAAAACATCAAACCTCCTACAGTGAAAATGGATGTTAATAGGTAAATTAAAGTGTAAACCTTCTCATTCACCCAACATTAAGTGTTTAAAAAAGATACCAGCAAACCCAATCAAAGAACTGACTGTTACTAATATACCAGCAAACCCAGAACGCTGTCATACACACTGTAAAACTTTAAGACCAGAAATAACTTTGATGAATACAGGTCATGTCTAATGTTCCAATATTCATTCAAAAGACAATTGAAAGTGCAGTGTACAAAACAAGATCCAAGAGATAAGCTACATGAGGTAACTTGTTACCATAATTAAATTCCTATAGGCGGTAAAATATAAATTATTGATGAAGATGTACAAACATTAAAAATTTATCCACCTAATAAATAACATGAAATAACTTCTCATTTGATACAAAGTGGAAAATGAGACTGGAAATTTAGCACATAAAGAAACAGTCACTGTGTCAGGAACAAAAGTCAGTAAAATATTTATCAAACAGAACTGATTTTTTTACCCAATAGGCTATTCAAGATCTAGAGAAAGTAGAAGTTTCTAATGACTAAGAACCTCATGTCATCCGAGAGCTTAAGAGCTAACAAATTATCTGTATGGATTGGCTGAACCACGTAAAAAACTCTTGGTGTTGTCTTTTTGCTTACTCTCTCTACTTGTGTGCGGTGCTTGTGTACTCCCATAATCCCCAACATTAAAAAGACTAACGTTGTAGAAAATTTAGCAACGACATCAAATTCATTAACTAGATCAAACAATTAGGAAGGCTTTTTCCTGTATTGACTACATAATGACTGAGGTCAACTTGGTTCGATACGAACTAACTATTATTGCTTCCCTAAGATGAGATTTTGTATCAAGATAGTAGTATGAAATTAAGATTATTTCCGATTTGATCTTACGTACTGGGAGTATGTTTCAGCGTCACAAACCATTTTAGTCAATTCGGGACTAAGTGACCCTATCATAGGCTGGCTTTGCACTAACCTAGTCCCATCGAAAACTATAACACAGAACGTCACCTATTTGTCGCGGACCTAGAGATCACCTCACATCCTAAAAGCTAGCGACATTCGAGAAAGGGAACCCAACTCTCTTATAGATCCAGCGACAATAAATTCAGTCAATTTGGAACTAAATGAACCTTAAAAACGCAAACAGAACCGCAAAACACATATATCAATAACAGTTGTAGCTTTTTAAACTAAATTAACAGACAACTCCAAGAACTATTCAAGCAAGCCATAAATTTTAGACACCCAACTGAGAAGAACCCAATAGCTGACCATCAACTCCAACAAAAATTCAATCTAGAAGTCAAAAGACCCAACTCCACTGTAGCACCAAATACGCTGAAATCAATAGGAATTGGAGCATTTTAATCAATCAAGCCGTAAATTTTATATTACCAAACTAACGAAGAACCCGACAGTTGGCCATCAATGACATCAAAATTCAACGTTGAACTCAAATACATAATAATAAAAATTCTGCACTAAAGGTAGTTCACAGAAATTGACCTGAATTCCCTTTGAACGAAGTTCGGAGACGCCGAAATCTAGCACCTGGCGCCGGCGGCCCATGATAGCAACGGAGGCGCCATGTATGCCAAACTGGGCCGAGATCTCGAACCCAATGCCCGACCCGCCACCCGTTATAAGGGCGACCTTCCCTTTGAGTATATCGCCTTTGAACGGAGACTCCGACATTTTCATTTCTCTCTTTTTTTTTTTTCTTTTTTTTTTTTCTTGTTTACTTTTGAAGTTTGAAGGGAGTCTATCAGTATATAAATTTACATCGAGTATAGACCACAGAAATGTCAAAATAGAGTCCATCAAGTTACAGCTTTCTGCATTTATTAGTTCTTTGCCCTTTTCTTGCCAAAATTGGCTTAAATATCTTTTTTTGTTGGGACATGTTTCGTTAGAGGTTGTTTAGTTCATTTCTTAGTAACTTAGCTCTGGGAGATTAATAATAGAAAATAGGTTGCCTGACTAATTTCTATATTTTCAAGCTCATTTCATGACTTTTTGGAATGAAATGAGATTTTTTTAATTTGGGACTCATGACACCTATTATCTTACTAGTGGTTGGGTTCCACATGCACAACATCTTTCTTTTTCCCTCTCTCAACCAAACACAAGAAAGGGAAACTTAACACCTCCACATGGGTATGTCGGGTATTTCAATTTCCTTTTCTCAGTATCTCAGCCAACCAAACAGCCCCTTAACCGAAAGGGTATAAAAGAAATTTTAATAAAACCATTTCATGTTATCTTCCTTGATTATTTAACTTCAAAATATCGTCATTCATTTGCCATTCCATCAGCATATAAGAAAGCATATGTCTATTTCTGTCTAATTTTTGTATCCATAGAAGTATTATTTGTGATAGTAAAAATCTCACATCGCGTGATCTTATCCATTGGAATTAAGAAGGTGATAAGGACTGAGAGAGTTAAACTCCATTTGATTACCATCTAATTAGAGAAGATCTGAATTTGTGTATAACACATGCATCAATTGTATTGTCAAACAACTCCTTTTCAAATGAAAATTGAATAGCATTTATATATTAATGGAATCGCAAATAACGACGGTATCTTAAAATGGGACTTAATTTAAGGAGGGTTCTCTATTTAAAAAAAAAAAATACTCCAAATTAAATAGAAAGAGAGGTGGACAAAATAAAGTTTGAGATGAACTTCATAAGACTATATATCGTTTCGGAAAGTCGGATTAGCTAGGCAACATATTAGACGAGCAAGGTCAGCGTCAAAAGTTTTCTCTGTTAATTAGTTCTTCAAATGCTTAAATCAGTTCTACTGATAAAAAAAAAAGAAAATAAGTAAAGGAACTATATATGAGGGTTTCATTGTCGTCTAAGCCTCTGCCTCTCTGGTGTTAATGGGGGTTGTATGCACGCTTAGTTCTTAGTTATTTAGGGGGGTTAGTCACCTAGAACTTTTTAAGTAGAACTGAGATAATTGGTAAAGTGGGATAATTTTTTGACACTGGGATAATTTAGTAGAATAATAATGGGTAATTCTTAAAGTGTGATAATTTGGTAGGATAATTTGATGGGATAATGATGGATAATATTAAGAAGTTGCATAATTTAGTAGGATAATTTGGTGGGGGTAATGGTGGGTATAAAATACTATTGTTAATAATTATATATTAAAAATAATATAATATTGATAAGCAAATTCTAGTAATAACTATAAAATATAATGCAATAAAGCATCACTATTCATCTCAAATAATAAAATAATTTACAAATAAATAAAAATCTAAATCCCTAGAGTGACTCGACTTCCATCATCCCACATGGCTTCTATCATCCCACATGGTATCTGCCATAGAATTTCTCCAAACTCCTACAGCTGTTCGTTGAGTCTGTAACTCGTCTTCTTTATCGGAGTCATTGTCTGCATCAGCAACATTTCGTGGAGCTTCTAGTGGAGGATCATAAATATCGAAGTTCAAATCTCATAACATCATAAAGAAAGAAAAATAAGCATTTTTCAGCCATTAACCCTTTAGACCAATCTCCACTAGTAGAAAACCACGTATTCTAGACGGAATATTCTAGACGGAATTTTTTCCGTCTAGAATGTATTAAACTAGACGGAAAATTTCCGTCTAGAATATTCCGTCTAGGATAAAATATTCTAGACGGAAATTTCCGTCTAGAATAGTATCCTAGACGGTTATTTTATTTTTATTATTTTTTTTAATTTATAGTTATTCTAGACGGAAATTTCGTCCAGGATACATTCTAGACGGAAATTTCCGTCCATGATACGTGAAAATTTAAAAAAAAAATTTAGGCGTCAAAACCCCAGCCCCCCTTCTTTTCCCCCCAAATCGAAAGAGGAAGGAACCCCCCTTACGGGCTCCTTCGTCCCTCGACCGCTCCGGTCAGACCCCCCTCCACTCCGACCTCCCCTTCGCGAGTCCCCTCCTCCGCCGTCTCCTTCTTCATCTTCAAAGCCATCCACCTCCTCGCCGCCGGCAGCTCCAGCTCCTCCTCCTCCTCCTCCAGAAAAGAGAAGCGCGCCCTCCAATTCTGGCTCCCTCCAATCGAGGGCTCCGCCGCCCTCAGCATCATCCTCGCCTTCGCCTGGCCGGGGCGCCACATCATCAACATCGTCCTCTGGTCCACCTTCGGCTCCACAATGTCAGCAGGCATCCTCCTCCTCTGCTTCGCCATCTTCGTCAAAATCTAGGGTTTGTTGCCGATCAGATCCAAGGGAAAAAGAAGATGGTGAGGGGATTGCTCGGAAAGCTCGCGTCTCGATCTCTCTCCATCGCTGGGAAATGACAGCAGCAGCAGCTCCGTCGCCTCAACATCCACGAGTATCGGGTCCCAAACCTAGGGTTTTTTCTTCTTCTGATTACTGATGCTATCTCGTTTTGATTCGTTAATATCTGATCGATCTGACTGATCTCGTGTTTAACGATCCGTTTTAATTTTGCGACAGGGTTCGGATTTGATGAGTAAGCATGGGATTAATGTCCCAAGGTGAGTTGCCGATCAAAGATGTTTTCCCTGGCGAAAAGGAGGTAATTTCGTCTAAATTTCACATGGAAATGTGTCTGCCTCAGGGTTTTCTTTTGTGATGGTATCAAAGAAATATAAATAGATGTAATAATTCTGGCATAAATGTTACTGAAATGGGAAAAATTGGACCTGGTAGTGAGCCATTGGTGTTTCTTTTCTGAAGCTAGCATTTATTTGTTGGATTTGGTTTCACGAACATTCGCCTGCATCTTTGTTCTGCCAGCTCAAATTTGGTAACTCGTAGATAAATATAATATCGCAACTAACTGCTTATGTGAATGTTCGTTGACGGTTATTTAGCTGTAAAGTTGAATCGATTTCATAATTATTTGTAATAGTTTGATAAATAATAGTTAGACAAGTTAACCCATTGTGAGTTGATTTTAGAAATTATGTCACTCACTTTGAAGAAAGAATCGTCTGAACAGATTATTATCAGGTTCATATTTTCATTGCCAAGCATAGGTGCAAAAATTATTGACCCAAGAGTCCATACGTTGACCCTTTTGTACTCCATCAACATCGTCCTCTTGATACATGTTGCTTGAACTCTGCATCCAATATTTTTCATCTCCAAGCATTCCTCAGGTCTTCATATAGTACTAAAATCTCTTGATACATTTTGCTTGAACTCTGCATTCATCAGGGTTTTTTTTCCCTGCTTGAGGCCTGCCACGCGGCCTCTCGACGGATTGAGAATTGGCCAATAGTTGATCTCTGCTGTGTTTTTTTGCTTGATTTGTTTGTTTTTTATTTGATTTTTGTAACCTAGAGAGCTCTTCGTCGACGATCACGTGACGATGCGGTTTACGATTGAGAATTGCCGCTTGATGAGGATCTCCCTAGAATGGGTCAATTCTATTGCCTCCATTGCGAGTAATTGGAATTTTCTCAATGATTTAGGGTTTCTTTGTTTTTTGTTTGTTTTTGGGGTAAAAATTCTGATATTTGTTTGTTTTTTGTTTCTGCAGTCGATATTTTTCTAGCGAGGCTGTGATGGTAGCGCACAATGAATCCAAGAGACACAGGAAGAGGTAGTTTTTGCTGTTCTTCATTCTGATTGTCATGGGTTTTGTGACTTGTGTGTTGAACTTTGTAGTTAAATCAGTTCGGTCATATAGTTGTGCTGAATAGTTATATATATTCGTTTGGGTTTAGCGAGTTGTCTACTTCTTATGTTAAATGATGAAACAAATGATGGGTCAAGGATTGTTATGTGAATGTGATCTTAGTGAGCAATTGGCCGATTTAGCTTCTGGGATGTGTTAGTTTCTTTGTAATGTAGACATGTCCTTCTTGAATATATTGAATATATTGTTGCTTTTGGATTTGTTATATGCTTTGCTTTTGTATTTAAGATTCAAATATATTGTTGCTTGGTTCAAATTTTGTTCCTTATGTTGTCTTTACTATTTTCAGGTGTCCTTCTTGAATATTGACAATCAGTTTGTTCAACATGTTACTGGAAATATCCTTTCTTCCCTGTCCTGCTTGCTGACGGAATTATGTACGTTTTTAAGATCATCTGTAGTTTTTCTGGTGTCAGATTGCTGGGATTGAATTCATGGAATCTGAATCGTAACTCCTTTATAGGTAAACAAATGGCTTGAATTTATTCATATGCTGTTGATTAGCGTAGACGCATCAATTTCAAGTATTGGTTCTGCGATTAATGAATGATAATCATGTTGTTTTATTATCTATGTTTGCTAGTGCTTCCCTTATCTCATGATTTATTATTTGCATAGGTTTACTCCGAAACAAAGAACTGCCAAAGATGCCAACGGAGATATGTGAGGCATAACATCTTCTTTACACAGGTACCTGTTGATCTTGTTATCGATCACTCAGTTCTGGTGGATGTGGCGAGATCAGCAAATGTTGTTCAGGCAAATTAATAGGAGTCTTAAAAGGAGTTTCCGAATGGGATAAGTCCCAGATTCGAGGGACTTAAACTTAGTATCATATTTGGAGCAAGAGTGTGAGAAGCGGGGAATGCTTGTAAATAATTTATGTATCTTTCTAATTTTTTTTGGTCAATGTATTTTTTGAACCGGATTAAGAATGATTTATGCAAAATTTGGTACATTCGAATATAATGGGATTTGATATTGGAATATAATTAGATTGTGTTGGATATGAATATTTTTTGTTGTTCAATATTGTGTATAGACACTCAAAGTAGATTCTTTAAAAAAAAAAAAAAAAAAAAAAAAAAAAAAAACTATTGTAGCATAACAGCCTA